GGCAGGAGGAAGGGCAGGCAGGCAGGAGGAAGGGCAGGCAGGCAGACAGGAGGGAGGGCGTGCAGGAGGGAGGGCAAGCAGACAGGAGGGAGGGAGGGCGGCCAGGCAGGCAGGCAGGCAAGAGGGAGGGCGGACAGGCAGGCAGGAGGGAGGGCAGGCAGGCAGGCAGGCAGGAAGGAGGGCGGGCAGGGAGGCAGGCATGAGGGCAGGAGGGAAGGCAGGTAGGCAGGAGGTCGGGAGGGAGAGCGGGCAAGCAGGAGGAAGGGCGCTAGGGAGAGGGGAGAATTTTCGGCGGGACGCGAGAGAGATATTCGCGGAGAGACGCGAGTCAATCGTCGGCTTCGGCGGCCCGACCTGGCGGCCATGCGATCGGGCGCAGCCGTAAATACACTTAGAATGGCGTAGCATGGTATAAATCCCCCCTGCGGTAAACCTTCCCCTCTACATTGCACATGGGCATGGGCAGTTCCTAGCAGAGTGTACCATAACTGTGAGTTGGATGCGGCATTCATTGCCCACGCGCGATGCAAAGGGGGGAACGTTTTCCACGGGGGAGGGATGAATTCCGCGCCGCGACGGCAGCCGCTCGCTCGTCTCCCGGGCGACGGACATCGCGCGCGCGGCAACTGATGCACGAGCAACTCTATCGCCCCCTGGAGGAACACCGGCCGGACGATTAAATTCTTTCTCTTCAAAGGGACGACTGCTCCAGTTGAGCCGATTACCCCGTGCATGAGCTCGCTGATCGAGGTTTTGCTCCGGAATCTCCGGAATCTATTGCTCTCACGAAGCCAATTAGACGATTTATTAGTTTTCGAATGCACTTATGAGCGGAGTCCGCTCTCTCTATGCCGTACATTAAACGACGCAACGCGAAACGTTGATTCGAAAGTCTTCCGGGCATTCGTTCGTCTGAGATTTTTTCCGCGTCGCTGCCGACTGCTTGACCTTCGGTAGGGTCGTTACCGCGCGCCGGCGAAAGTCGCAACGAACTCACAGCGACACGGCGAAAGTCACAACGAGCTCACAGCGACACGGCGAAAGTCACAACGAACTCACAGCGACACGGCGAAAATCTCGAAAAGCTAGCGCCGACCGCTAGCGCCCTCACCTGCACTGCGACGTCGCACACGTTCAGCTGCGGCGTTCCCGCCACCAGGTTGCGCTTGTGTTCCACGACGATGCGTCGGATCGGCGACATGGCGGCGTCGTACTCGGGGGAGGAGAATCTAAAACGGCGGAAACGAACACGGAACGAAAGCCAATTTTGTGTCAATTTTGTCTATTTTAAGATATCCAATCGCCTTTCCGTCGAGATTTCGGAGCGAATTAGGATACGAAGCGCGAGTTAGGAGATGAAGTGTGCATAGAATACTGAGCCAACGAGTGCACCATCTGGCCTGGCCACTTATAGCCACTGCGGAGAAAACACTTAGTCGCACGCAACTCGTAAATTAATACATAGAGTATGTGCCTCCACACTGCTACCCGCCGCCCCGGGGGAGCATCGTAGCTGCAATTGTTTTTTTAATTTGACGAGAAAAACACGCGGTCCTAATCACGAACATTGACGCGAAATCGCGAGGGGATGACGGAGCACCAAAAATATCATCAATGCAAACAAGCGCTGCGTAAAAAATGCCCAATTGGTCGCTGCCAATGTCGAACACGAATTCGATTCGAGGTGCGGGAACGAGCGAGGGAATGACGAACGGCGGAATGCAACGACGCACGTCGGAACGCAACGACGCACGTCGGAACGCAACGACGGCAACGTGCGGAAACGGCAAGCGACGGCAGCGTCGGAAAGCGCAACGTACCACTTTCGGAACGCAACGACCAGCGTCGGATACGCAACGACGCAGTCGAACGCAATGGACGCAATGTAGGAACGCAATGATGGCAGTCGGAAACATCGACTCATTGCAAGCCAGATGGAGATTACAAGAAAATTTTTGAAGGCGGGTTTAGGAAGATTGTACTCAACGGCTATTATACCACCATATATCTACATACAGGAGGGGGCAGGGTGGGGGTTTGGAGGCGGGTGGAGGGGGCTGCTATAGGCAAGAGCAGTTTCAGGTCCTTTGTAACAGTCAACAAATCCATGTTAACCGTCCTCTTGAGGTCAAAAGGTTATCCGACACTTACTCTTCGCACGTCAGGCCGAATGTAGATTTCATGTCTTTCAATAAAGTGGTATACCAACGGTAGGTCACGGCTGAAAGCAAAAAAGTTTTTGGCACTCGGGTCTGTTAGAGCCCATGTCCTCAGAACAATGTCTTGATACCTTTCCCACTGCAGCTTTGACTGTGACCTCGCAATTTCGCGCTGGTGATGGTTTCCTCCCCATCGAACACTATACATCAAATATTAAGAGGGTAGGTCAAGCCGTTGCGATTTGTGCGCGCAATTCCGTATTTCCTCACTATACCTTAAGTTAAGGGGGAAATATTCGCCCTTCATTGACCATCTTGACCTTTGACCGCTTGACCGCCCGAAATTCGACATCCCGATCCTTTTTGGCGATACCGGCCCACCCGACGTCGAAATATATGCAGAGCGCGTACGTCGAATGGTTAAAATCTGTCGTCGCAACTGTTGACGGAGCGGGCACGGTCGGACACTCATGCGATTCTACCACGCTGGGCATCCGACTGTCGTCAGCTGAGGGTGATAATAATGCTTTAGTTATTTTAAGCGAGCCTTGTTTGTGCTTAGCTAACAGGATCAACTCAGATAGCGGACATTACGGAGCGTCCGTCCGTGAATCTGCGGGCTGAAGCAACCGAGAAACGGCTGCCCGCCCAGACGTGCTCAGGCGATTACTAACGGAGGGCGTGAAGTCCTCGAGTAAAGCGACGCGAGAGAACACGCTCGCCCCGCCTCCCTGGCAATTTTATTCAGGGGGAAAATCAACAGAGTGAGAAGCTGTCTCTCTCTGCTTCCCCCCCCTTCTGCTTGACGGCGCCGACGCTTTCCTCTCTCTCTCCGTTCGCTCTCTCTCTCTCTCTCTCTCGCGGCCCCCCCGTCTGCTTCGTCGTCTATTTGAGTGCTCTCCTCTCTCTCTCTCTCTCATCTACTCTCTCTCTCTCGATCTCTCTTCTCTCTCAGTCTCTCTCCTCTCCTCGTCGTCTCCGGTCGCATCTCTTCGCCTCTCTCGTCTCTCTGTCTCTCTCTCTCTTCCTCCTCATCTCTCCTTTCCTCAGTCTCTCTCTCTCTCTTTCTCTCTCTCTCTCTCTTTCGCCCCCTGAAGTTTTAAAGTTGCTTTAGTCATTTTAACAGGACGTGTTCATCTTAGCCAAGATCGAGTCGGACTCTCGGTAAGGCGGTTGGAGAAACGGCGCGCGCTCGCGCACTTACCTCACGGGGAATTTTTCGCCGGGGTCGCGGCCGAGGTGGAAGAGCAGGGGTCGCGCCGTGTGGTTCTGCTGCTCGTGCTGCGTCATGTTGGCCAACACCTGTCCCGGACAGAAGTCGATGCCCTGCAGACATACACACACACGCGCGCATTAACGTATAACACAAACACTCGCACATATGTACATATATGTGCGTGTATACATATATGTATATGTATGTATATTATATCAGGAGTAGATAATAGAGACTCTATTATCTACTCCTGATTATATATATCTATATATCTGTATATATATATACTTATAAGACGCAGGAATATGTGTAGTGTATTTATAGCGTGAACAAACATATATCTATACTATGCTATACTATATGTAGTACAGTTATGTTCATGCATGTATGCATATATACATATATGTATATATATACACAAATATACACGTGACACGTGGTAGAAGTCAACTGTATATATATATATATACACAAATATACACGTGACACGTGGTAGAAGTCAAACCACATCTAGTCTGGGTCCCATTACTAGAAATATGCACGCAAATACAAGTATAAAGAAAGCAAACCTGAAGAAATGAATGAAAACCTGAATGAAAACGAGTTACGGAAGCAATTCGTGTTTCTATTTATAAATTCATAACTCCATTTCAAATTTCTTTGAAGGACAAAAATTTGCCAATATGTTAATTACATCAGATGTTACGGCAGGGCCCCACAATAAAAATGACAACGGTAATTTGTGCATACATAATTAAATTTATTTGTCTAAAGCCTTGAATAATGTATAATAGGCCTCGAACGAAATCGCACGCATATTAATGACAAAATAAATGTGACAAGAGCCACGTGAAAATACTCGCAATCATAATTAAGGGAATTAATCAATATCATGTTTAATTATTAAGCTAATGCAAACGCTAGTCACTTAAAACCACATGTACCACTTTAATCTCGTCCCAGCCATTCGACCAAGTCCAATAATGGGCCTTGTAAAATCCATATCTGACTGCCATCATCTCATTTCCTCGATAGAAGAACACTGGTCTACATTAGAATAAAAATGGGGGAAAGTGAGGTATATATACGTACACCACCAAGAAGACAATTAAGTTCACTACTACATAAATAGCACATACATGCATGGTATCGAGAGCTCATAAACTACACAGCAATTTATGTACCCTAAATATATAAATAACGGAACGCAACGACGCACGTCGGAACGCAACGACGCACGTCGGAACGCAACGACGCACGTCGGAACGCAATGACGCATGTAGGAACGCAATGATGCAGGTCGGAAAACATCGACTCATTGCAACCAGATGGAGATTACAAGAAAATTTTTGAACGGGTTTAGGATGATTGTAATAACCTATATACACACATATATATACATACAGGGAGGGGGAGGGTGGGGGTTTGGAGCGGGTGGAGGGGGCTCTAATAGCAAAAGCAGTTTCAGTCCTTTGTTAACAGTCAACAAATCCATGTTTAACCCTCCTCTTGAGGGTCAAAAGGTTATCCGACACTTACTCTTCGCACGTCAGCGGAATGTAGATTTCATGGTCCTTTCAATAAAGTGGTAAAAACGGTAGGTCAGCGCTGAAACAAAAAAGTTTTGCACTCGGTCTGTTAGACCATGTCCTCAGAAAATGTCTGATACCTTTCCCCCACTGCACTTTGACCTGTGACCTCCAATTTCGCGCTGGTGATGGGTTTCCTCCCCATCACACTATACATCAAATATTAAGAGGGTAGGTCAAGCCGTTGAGATTTGTGCCGCAATTCCGTATTTCCTCCTATACCTTAAGTTAAGGGGGAAATATTCCCCCTTCATTGACACATCTTGACCTTTGACCCTTGACCCCCAAATTCGACATCCCGAGTCCTTTTTGCGATACCCCCCCCGACGTCCCAAATATCAAGACCGTACGTCGAATGGTTAAAATTTGTGTCCAACTGTTGACGGACGCACGGTCGGACAATCATGCGATTCTACAAGCTGCATCCGACTTCGTCAGCTGAGCTGATAATAATGCTTTAGTTATTTTAACGAGACTTGTTTGTCTTAGCTAACAGGATCAACTCAAGATAGCGCAATTACGAGCGTCCGTCCGTGGAATTGCGGGCGAAGCAACCGGAGAAACGCTGCCCGCTCCAGTACGTGCTCAGCGATACTAACGAGCGTGAAGTCTCGGTAAAGCGACCGGAGAAACACCTCCCCGCCCCCTGCAATTTTATTCAGGGGGGAAAAATCAACGTGGGAACTTCTCTCTCTCTCTCCTCCCCCCTCTCTCTCGCGCGCACGCTTTCTCTCTCTCTCTCGCTCTCTCTCTCTCTCTCTCTCTTTCTCGCTCTCGCTCTCTCTGCTCTCTCTCTCTCTCTCTCTCTCTCG